ATTCCTTTTTTGTTTACGGCACATTCGTTTTCAGTCGGATTCCAAGTCCTGGCCCACAAATGGACGTTTGTACACAGGAAAGGACACGCAGTTCCAGCAGCTGCGATGGGAACCTGACGTCAGCACCGACGGGGTTCTTTGAAATCAGCACAGATGCAGCAGAGGAAATGTGCAGGGACGGACATCTTCCAGGAGGGGCTGCGGGCAGAAGGGCGGAATCGTTTTTTTACTGACCTTAAAAGGGAACGCTGTCGCAGGATATAAGCACAGGGAATGTCGTCAGTAATATGGTCGTAACTATGTATGGAGCCACTGGGGTGCAGGAAATACCGAGGGGGGCACTCTGTAAGTATAGGATTGTCTAACCACTAGGCTGTACACCTGAAACCAATCCATGATGAAATTGAAAGTAAAAGACACACACAAACACAACGCTACGTCTGTTGAAAAATATCCATTCAATCAATAAAATGGCAAAAAGAAATTAGGGCACCCCCCCCCGCCCCAAAATCTAACTGCTATTTAGGATAAAAGTTCACTTTGATGTTCCTCTCCCAAGCTTAGAAAAGCGTTAAGCCCTGAAATGTTTCCATTAACTTGAAAACAGGAAAATTGTCCATTAATCTTCCCTTACGCCAATAATAGAAAGGTCTCCAGGGGCAAAATGGGAGCCAGAAATAAGCCTGAAGCAGAAACAGGAGGAGAAGAACAGTTCTGGGGGCTGTTGAACACAGACCTGGCGTCATCCTCCTTCACGTGGAGTTGAATTCTCGGGTGTATACGTTTTTTATACATCCTTTAACTGAGTAAACATTGAATTTAAAAGAATATGATATTATCTCTATGGGTCAATGTCAGGGTTTCTCAGCTTCGGCACTATTGGCATTTGGGGCTGAATCACACTGACAGGGGGGGGGGGGGGGGGGGGGGGCAGGGGGGCCGTGTTTTTTTTTTGGGGGGGCAGGGAGCTGTCCTGTGCATCACCAGGAGTCACACTGCAAAGAATCCCCACAGGTTAATTTCCATCAAAATGAAAACGCAGCCAAACGACCAAACATCCGAGAAACAAGTCAGTATGCGCCAGAGGAAGCAGAAACAACAAACAATAGATGGAGCCCTTGCCCAAGGGCTTCAGACGTTGAAGTGATCAGATCAGATTCTAAAGTCACTATGGATTAAATATTTAAAAAAACAAAACGGATTTAAACATGAGCAAAGGATGAAATGATAGAAAACGGCCAGGCATGTGTCCTCAGGCGTTTGTGGGCGCACAGGGAGAACGGCTGGACCCTTGTACCTTCGCACTTGGGTGCTGGTGGGAGAAACAGACTTATGTACAGACTGGAATTAAGCTGGGGGTGAAAGCTCAAGTGCTTCCGGAAGCCGGAGAGGAGATGGGAGCCGTGCAGAGGGCCGGGAGGACAGGCTGCCTCTTCTCAGTCCTAGCAGATTGGGGATCCGTATGCAGGAGCAGAGCCAGGGGTTGCCAGGGGCTCCCATTTTCCAAGGAAAGGCGTAAATCCAGATTTTAATGTAAATTGAAATGATCTGTGTATGTTGGCTACTGCGGTGGACATCTGAAGTTTCTGTTACCCACGTATCAATTCACTTCTCTAAAATATTGTGGGCTGTGATCACTCTTCATAGACCACATCTTTCTCCCCGTCTCAGCCCAGTCTCTCAGAGATGGTGGGGACTCTGGCTGCAGGGATGGGCATGTAGCTCAAGTTCAGCCCATCAGAGCACAGCAGTCTCCACAATAATTGACTCGGGAATGGGCCTGTGATTTAATCAGAGAAAATGAGAAGCCAAAAAGCCTTTTAGGGAACTTCAGGGAAAAGATGATCACTGTTGCCCATGGGATTCAAACCTGAGAAGATGTAAGGGCTGGAGCCATGGCAGCCCTTTTGTGACCATTATACGGAGGTTCTGCCTGAGGCTGGGTGCACATGGTTAAAGCATTGCTGAGAGCTGGAGGGAGGCCTGATGACATCACTTGGGCCTGAACCCAGCAGTTCCTTAGACTTTTCATTTTTAATAACCAGTGAATTTGCTTTCATGCTGAAGTCAGAATCGGTTTCTCTGCCGCTCCACAGAAAGAGGCCTATCCCTTCAGCAACTCATCAAACAAACGTCTTCACACCACGAAAGCCGAACAAAC